CCAAAGAATTTGGAATGTTGCGGAGATAATTATTAATGATGATTCAGAAAGAAAATTGGTTGTAGTGTCTGCTATGTCAAAGGTGACAGATATGATGTATGATCTTATCTACAAGGCACAGTCACAGGATGATTCTTATATAACTGCATTGGATGCTGTTCTAGAAAAGCACAAGCTAACAGCACTTGATCTATTTGAAGGGGATATTCTTGCTAGTTTCTTATCATGGTTGCATCATGACATCAATAACCTTAAAGCAATGCTTCGTGCAATATATATAGGTATCAAATTTGTCCCTTTGGATGTCACATGAACTCAATTTTCATATCTTTGTGATATTATCTTAGTCTTGCATGCCCTATGAAATTGTTTTCTCCTTTTTTACGCCTTAGATAGAAAGCAGTTGGCAGGTGGATGATCGGTACTGGCATCCAAAATTAAAACGAAAATCATGCTAATATGTTACACTTCTTGTCGTGCAATGTAATGAGTGAAGCACATTCGTCTGTGAGATATATATTCTGCAGCTTGACATTCATGGTATTGTTTAAAGAAGGTGCTGAAGGTGACTGTAATGATTACACTAATTATTTGCTTTTCTATGAGTAAGCATTACTTTATTTTGTCTATAATATGGGCTTTTTAAGTTGGGACTGCTATCAATTTTTATTGCTCATGAGATCTTTAAGAATCTTGTAATATTTTCCGAATTGTTACATTGCAAGATCTTCTTGAGAATAATATAATGTTATGTGCAAAGTCTAAGCACAGAAAATGTGCCAAATTGCCATTGGATAGGGCGGTGATGACACATGAAACAAGAGAACAAGGAAAAAAAACACCCTCCAGGTGCTGAGCCAAGATGTACATTAAGCAGATAAATTCCGGAGGAAAAGAAAAAAATGAACAGTTCTAATAAATGCTGATGAACATCACAAAAACCTTGTGATGTGGTTTATCATGCCCCCCACTATTTTCATGTAAAAGTTCTTGATGCAGAAAATTGGCTAAAATGCTGCAAACTATCGCTTTTCCTTTTGCTGCAACATATAATCCCTATTGTTTTTCTTTATCCTTTTCTTTATTTATCTGAATATGAGGTGTTTGTTAATTTTTCCCCCTGTTATTACCTGTGGGGGTTCTTTGTATGAACATAATTTTTTTACGTATTATGTTGACTTAAATGTTTAATGTACTGCAGCTGGTCATGCAACAGAATCTTTTACAGATTTCTTTCTCTGAGAACTTCTCTAGTCCAAATAGTCTCTTCGAATGTCAGTTATGTAGCTGTAAAATTATTCTGATGATAGTTACTTAATCCCAATTTTTGGACTGGAAATTTTAACAGCAATGTTAATTTGGGGTTGGATTGGATTGCTAAAGAACCTTTCTTTTGCAGTTAGTGACGCTGTGGTACTGAAGACTTTGTATTTTATTAACAAATGGGACAGTAGTTGGTTAGATGCAATGTCTCAAAAAATAAGAGAATGGTTTGATGTTAATGTAACCACTGTCATGATTAATGAAAAATTTTATTAATTTTGTTTATGAAACCACTCAAAATTTTATTTATTTACTACATTTCCCTTATCATCAACTATTACATCTTGAGTCACATCACTATTTTTTACACTGATGATTACATTTCTTAAAACATTAAAAATTCTGCTGCATCCATAACAACTGATCCTCTACGATCAACTTTCTCTTTACTAACACCAACCTCTGAAATTGACGGACCAGGATCAACATCACTAGTGTCATCACCACCTCTGCGTACATCAATCTCTGGTGATGACACTAGTGATGTTGATCCTGGTCTGTCGATTTCAGAGGTTGGTGTTAGCAAAGAGGAAGTTGATCATAGAGGATCAGTTGTTATGGATGCAGCAGAATTTTCTAATGTTTTACGAAATGTAATCATCAGTGTAAAAAATAGTGATGTGACTCAAGATGTAATAGTTGATGATAAGGGAAATGTAGTAAGTAAATAAAATTTTGAGTGGTTTCATAAATAAAATTAAAAAAAATTTTCATTAATCATGACAGTGGTTACATTAACATCAAACCATTCTCTCATTTTTGGGAACATTGCATCTAACCAACTATTGTCCCCATTTGTTAATAAAATACAAGGAATTCCTCCTCTAATAGTGAGATCTGATTGGAACTTAACAAATACATGGAAATCTCTCTGGCAGCCTACTAAATTCTTCATTAATTCGGTAGGGACTGTGGAGTATTTGATGTCGTCTATGACGCTGTAGACGGCGTCTTGATCGTAGTCCTTGAAGCTTATTCTGCTGGAGAAGTAATTGTGTCGTCCGAGGCTTCTGGCCCAGGCGGTTTTGCCTGTTCTTGAGGGTCCTTCGAAGTAGAGGGAGATTGGGCAGATGGGCCTCTGCTCTGGTTTCTGTTATCAGAGGAGGAGGAGAGTTCTTCGTCAGTATATAAATTGTTTATATTATTTTTGTGTATCCCTAATCTAAGGAAATCGTCTTCCCACCAACGGAAAGACAGCAATTTTGACATAACTCGTACTGAACGAAAAGGGGATACTGGGTCTTCAACAACCCCAGTTTTTATATCGTCCACCTCCATTAACCTGAACATTAAAAATAAAAATACATCAAATTACAATTCTAAACAGTTTAAAGTATATTTGACTCCTTAAAGTAATTTTGCATTCCTTTCATCTTTCTTTACAGAGAGCAAAGAATTGTTCCTCCGTTTCTGCTTCGCCAAGTATTCCCTTCCAGAGTTCGTCTCTGTTTTTCGAAGGACTTCTCCCCTTAGATGAAAATTCTCCCCATTCGACGAACTCGCCCCATTTCTGTATATACTGTCAACTTGCTGTTGGCGAGTGGAGTTTTTCTATATTTGGATGGTAGATCCTCCCATTGGTTCCATTGAGATCGAAAAATCTCGGGTTGGAGGTTTGGATCTTCTTCGTGCATTGAACCATGGCATGAAGGTGAGGGTTTCCATCTTCATGGAGCTCCCTTGCGACAAGTATGTAGTATGACTGACAGACTAGTTGGAGGAGAGCTTGGAGGAGTTCTAAGAGTTGTTCTTTTGAGCATGGGCATTGTGGGTAAGTGAGAAAAACATTCTTGGCATAAAAACGGAAAGAGGCTTGGCGAGGCATTATTTAGCTTATTTAGTGATTAACACTTAACTTACACAGGTGTGAATGTTGTTTGTCGAGGCTTTATATAAGGGGAGGTCACACCAGCTGGGGGGGGCGCTATATATAATATTACTAGCGCCCCCTATAGAAATTGTACCCGTTAGGGAATTTCATCCGTTGATGGACGTACGGATGGTGACGTGTAAGGTGGAGATTAAATCCGTACTCACACCAAATAGTAATCACTATTTGGTGTGAGTAGCCGGGGCTTGGTGTGAGTAGACGTGGCCATCTCCTGTCCACCCACGTGTCACGATCGTGGTGGTTTTGCTTGGATATAAAGCAAAAGTGCATAGAATTCCGCGTGAATGAACAGTAATGGGCGGGAATTCAAATTTTAAATTCCAAATCTCCGTATTTACAGCTGTCTATATATCTGGGTCTAGCCTCAAATATTTGTCGGTGGAGAGAGATAAGAGAGACATGCTTTTGCAGTTGGAGAGTTATTACACTGAGGTGATTTTCTGGTACCATGTTTCGTCCCTCCTTTTTTTTCTGCCAATTTTGTTGATTTATTTGGTATACAATGTTGTACTCCTTAGAAGAATATCCCGAGAATTACGGGTAGTTCACTCAAATGTGTGTAGATCGCTTTTTGACGTGGCAACTAGGACTGTGGGAAGAGAGTCGGCAGAGAGCTCCGGTGAAGTTTGTTCCGGTGTACGAAGATCAGAGGGCAAAAATATCAAAGCTAAGGTGTCTGAACAGAAGGGTTAGCAGAGGTAACAGATCCTGTAGAAGTGTTCGTATAAAAGATTTGAAGTTATTTATAAAAAAATGGAAGGAATAGGAAGCAGCCATTACCGGACCCCCCTTGCGTACCAGAGGTCAAGGACACCGGCGACCAGTGGATATAGGCGTAGTTACCGTAGTCGTGCACCTTTTAAGACCCAGTATGTTCGCAGACGGTACGTTCAGAATATTCCCCGATTTATTAAGAAGACTAAGAGGGGAGTAAGGAAATTACAGCTATATGATGAACAATTAAGGGACGTTAAGTTTGATAATAAAGGCGTGGCAAGATTACTTAATAGTATTGAGTTGGGTAATAAGAGATCTGACCGTCAATCAGACAAGATTGTGGTGAATGGTATCAAATTCATTGGTAATGTTCAATTGGTACAGGATGCTAAGGACGAAGCTATGGTCCACCACGTATTGTTTTTCATCATAAGTGATAATAGTCCGTCAGATTCCGTCCCCACACCTGACAAGATATTTATTGGAGTTGGGGAGGGTAATCCTGAGACCTGGATTGTTGATCCTGACCAGTCCGACCGGTTTCGGATGCTAAAGAAAATGAGATTCAAGCTCGTTGGTGGCAAAGACAAAGAGTACGTTCGTCACGGGATAGAAGTTGTAGACCGGTTCTTCCCAGTTGATGTTTGGACAGACTACAAAGATACACTGTTGGGAAATGTTGGAAGCATTCAAAAGGGTGCCATATATTTAGTGGCTGCTACTGTTAGTGGAACGGAATGCAAAATTACTTTAAGGAGTCAAATGTACTTTAAAACTGTTTAGAATTGTAATTTGATGTATTTTTATTTTTAATGTTCAGGTTAATGGAGGTGGACGATATAAAAACTGGGGTTGTTGAAGGTGTTTCGGCAAGTGATTTCAGCTGTATTGAACTTGCGTTGCCTAATTTATTTTCTCAATTGAGGTTAAGATACAAACAAAAACGTATTAAGGTTGATAAAATATTGATAAAATATTGAACTTGAATATCTTTTAATACCTGTCAAAATTGTTGATACTTACAATTTTGCATGTTTAACAACAAAATTTGCATGCTTATGCAGTCATACTTTGGTGCAAATGTTTTACATCCCCAAACCATCATTCCAGTGATGCAATATGACATTCCAATTGTTATAAGAAATGTCTTCAATCTCTCAGCACCTGGAACGATGATATGCCAGGATTCTGTCAATGAGTTTGAAGATGGTCAGAGATTGGAATCTCTTGTCAAAGGCTTTGCAACAATAGCCAATTTGGCCATTGTAAATGTTGAGGGGTGAGCTTGTATTGCAATGATAATGCTGCTTATCTTTTTGTAGTGTTATGCGTCGCCTTTAACTAATTTCCTTTCCCATTTATACTGTGCACTTTCTTTTTGCAGAACTGGAATGGGTGGCGTTCCTGGTACAGCTAGTGCCATTTTTGATGCAGTGAAAGATGTAGGAGCTAATGTTATCATGATATCTCAGGTATCTTCATACTCTGATATCTGTTTTACTCAATATTTTTCATATATTGTAAAATTCATATAGTTAGTGATTGGATCTAATACAGGCTAGCAGTGAGCATTCTGTGTGCTTTGTCGTCCCCGAGAAGGAAGTGAGAGTTGTTGCTGAGGCTTTACAGTCTAGATTTCGTGAAGCTTAGGATGCTGGGCGTATTTCCCAAGTGTTGTAGTTTGACTTGATACACTCTTGGGAGCTGATATTCTGTTCATTATACAATAATTGTTCGAAATTACTAAAATTTCTGGATCATGATTGTCAACTCTTACGTTGTGGAAGGTAAGAGAGAAATCTTTTCAGTTATGCATTTTTATACCATTATCTAATTTGAGTGGATAAGGTGGAAACTACAATCACCTTCCCCTGTACCTGGATAGGAGCTTTACCAAGCATGAGGCTGTTACAGGACTGGAGAAAAGAACAGACTTGGCCTTAGGATCTCTATCTAAACAACCTATCCTCACTGGCCTGGATCACACAGTGCCCTTCCATCCACATTGTTTTAGGTAATCCTGATTTGACATGTTTTTTAACTTGATTAGTCAAGGTGTGTGCAAACTAGTCCGTCCAAATACCCGATTATGAAAAAAGAAGAAAAAGTCCTGATTTGGGCATGTTTTTCAGCTTGAGATCAAATTAGTTGGATTGTTTTCTCTAAGCAACATTTGGATTAGATATGAGTATGAAATTAGCAGGAATTGTGTAGGAAGTTGTCTTTGGAAGGCTTGATTCTCTGTACCTGACCTGTACCTTATAAAACTTCTATGGAAAAATTTTAGACTTTCTTTTCTGCCAAGTGTTGCATCCCTTGTTCCAATTTGCTCATAGTACCTTTAGGCATGTTTGCATCCCTTGTTCCAATTTGTTTTCTTTAGGCATTTACTCGCAAAAGATAAGAAACCTCTTTTCCAACCTTGAAGTTTTGAATGAAATTTAGACACAATACGACTGAACAACACTCATTTCCTTCCTCGTAGATCTAGATGGGCACCTAAATATATTCCCGGTTTAGCAACTAACTTCACCCCTCGGCAATTACTCAAGAATTCCTTGCAAGAAGCCGATATATTCAAGCTAACAAACAAGTCCAACTTTTTGAAATTAATAATGATCCCGGAATGATGACAAAAGGCCTCTAAAAACCATTTAAGAATCCATACTTCCTTCATGCCGAACTTCATACAAATAAAACAATCATCCACAAACAACAAGTGATTCATTACTGGAGCATTTCTACTTAATGAGATACCCATCTCAAAACTAAAAGATAACTTGAATCACCAATAAAAAGAGATATTGAGACAATAGATCCCCCTGCCTTATCCTACATCGTGGCTAAAACCACTGTGTTCTTCTAACACTAATCAACACAGAAAAAGATACAGTAGATATACACTGTGTTCTTCTAGCATTTCTACTTAATGAGATACCCTATGATAAATTTTGTCCTTGTGTATTTCCTTTTCATTTGTTTTTACTTTGATGTCTTGTAGGCTGTGGCATTGTTATTATTATTTTATTTTATTTTTGTTATTCTTATTTTATGATTTTATTTTTGATTGATTGATTTTTAACAAATTATTTATGTATTGTCATTATTTTTGGGCATTGTTGTTAGGGTTGTGGTAACAGTCCACTATCTGCTTGTAAATTGCGCTAATTACCTGTCTGTTGCATGTTTTAGTCTGTAAACTCAATGTGTTGATGTTGTAATTTGATGATAAATTTTGAACTATTACAATTCAATAATTTCAAGTTTTTTATGCATTAATTTCAGTGGTTTTCATTTTGTCTTCCCTTCCCACTACCAGAGCTGGTAATATTTTCTGGCTTGTTCTGGCACAAAAGTTGTTTTGAAGTTATTTCCTGTACTCATGTCGGTTTTTGGAAAGTTATGTTATGAAAACACGACTTTAAAAAAAGTTATACAAAAATTAGTTGAAGTTGTGTTTACGACTTCACAAAACAATATGAGTTGGAAAAATAAATTGAAAACGGGTATTTGGAAAATATGATTTGAAAGAAATCGCCCAAGGATGCTGCTTTGCATACTTGCTGCAGGTTTATTCCTTTGAGGAACATTCAAAGGGACTCTGCTTGATTGATGACCTGGAAGAAATTTTGAGCATGTCAAAACTCTCCACTGTTCTGGTGCCTAAAATTTGATTAGTATGATTCCATTATGGAGTTAACAATTTTTTTTCTTCATGTAACCTTTTCAAAATCTTCTGTTTTATCTGCTCTGTTTTTCTCTCTTGTTTCCTGCCCTATTCCCTCTTCTAATTTGATCTATATATGTTTTCCTCCATTTCAGCTCCTCATCTAGGAAAATTTCTCTTCCTCCACACACGATCTTAAAATCATGGACATGTGATACTGCAGAGATATGAAATTTCTAAAAATATAGGATACATCATGTGGGAATACGCAAAATATATAATTTTCAGTCACGAATTTAGTTTTTGGAATCTCAATTGCAAGCTGCAGGCGTGCCCGTTGATCCAGTTGTTGCACCCTCAAACCCATTACATAGGCAACAGGTATTTTAATTATTTTTACTAGTTATTACTTTAAATTTCTTAGAGCTAATATACAACTTAAGCCTCTTATTGAATGATAGGTTGAGGATTCACTTAGTAGTCATCCCACTGTTCGGCCAATGTCACATCAACAACAATCTCATGCATTTTCATCCCAAGAGGTGAGCAATCATTTAATCAAAGCTTTTTTGACAAATACAATATCTTATTAATTACAATACTTGCTCTTATTAAATATAGGTTCACCTTTCAAAGAAAGAGAAGAAGAAGAACTAACAAGGTAAAAGTACCAACATCACTATTTTTTCATTTCTCACTTTCTAAATCTATTAAGACATAGTGTGATTTGGTGTTGAAAATACAACTCAATTGCTTCAGTAGATTATAGTATTCCTGAGAGATATTATAGTAAGTAGATCCTATAATATTTATAGCCAGAACCTCTGTTGATTTCAATATTCCCATTTTTAGGTTCTAATTATTAAGGGCCTAATTGCTGTAATTTTTATTTTCAATGTTTTCGTAAACAAAAATAAGTGGGAGCCCCTCTAGAGTCCAAGTCATCTCTTCGGTCCCTTACATACAAATTTGAGATCTGTTTTGCCACTAAACTGTGGGTTATTGTTTAACCAGTTGTCAACCCGGTTATTCCTCTGTTTAGTTCCATTCCAACAGGCATTACCACAGTGATCAGCAAATGACTACTGTATGTCGACATAAATCAGATCTATGATCCAACTTATTGATTAAGCTCTCTGTTTCAGGATACAGATTCAATTTACTCCTATTTCCCTTATATGTACATGAGTGATGAGCCTTGAAGAGTGGGCTTACCGTTTTGGCTGTTTACATATTGTAGAAAGGGAAGAGTCATCCCATAGATTGCAGATGTTTATAGACAGCCAAGGATCAAAAGAAGATGGCTTTGGCAGTAGGAATTGAATTAGATAAGCATTGTATGTGGAAGATTTTTTGTCGTACATTAAGTTTTTGGGGGGGTTTCTTTGATGTTATTGTAGGACTACTCAATCCTAGTACCTGTTTAGTATTGATTGGTTAAAAAAAATGAAAGAGTTATCTGATTGGTGTTGGTTTACTAGTTCTTAGTATGTTGACAGATTGACAGCTTTGAAAAACAGGGTATAAACATAATCTTCCTCAATTTTATTGAATAAATTGCAATTGTTATTATTTCATTGAGCAAGTTGAGGGAGGTATAAGGATATGAGAAGTTGTATTGAGACTTGGAAACAATTCTTTGTATAAGATTGTATCAAGATGATGTTTCGAAAATGTTGACAGAGAGGTTGCAGTCAAAGGGGTGGGCAATCTGTTGAACCATTAAGAAGGAGGTTTCTAAGAGAGGGTAATCTATGCAAACCCCACTCTGATGGAGGCTTACTGATCATGATCGTGTTGATGTTAAGTGAACTGAGGTTTGTCAGAGAACTCCAATTGGAGACAATTCCTGTAGGGGATTTCTATACTTTCAGCACTTGAAGAGAACTGAGGTTGTATGGTAGGGCCTCGAGCTTTTTGCAGTCGTAGATAAGCAAGTCTCAGATTCGATGTGGCGAACCAGAACCAACCTTCCGGGAGGGACTCCATGTTTTCACAACCTCTTATGTCCACTAGGCTAAGATTTTTGAATTCATTATTGTTGCTGCTATGCATGGCATTTGGCAAGGATTTGAGGTTCTTACAAGCATTAATTCGAATCGATTTAAGAAATGGACATAACCAGCTTATCTGATATTTCTCTCTTACAAACAGTCTTGCAATATTTCTATAATGTATTTTGAGTATTCTAGTTAGTTGTGCATTTGATTGTTTAAATGAACATAACCAGCTTATCTGATATTTCTCTCTTACTGTTTCTTACCAGGAGTACGATAACTCGTGACAAAGGTACAAGGGTTGGTGGAGCTTGGGGTTAAAGCAACAAATTCTTTTTGTTTTCTTTTTGATGATTGTATATTCATGAATTTTTACAATCACAACTAGTTGATGCATGTTTGGTTGATGCAACAAACCACTAATTCATAACTAGTTTTTAATCTGATGCGGGACTGGTCATGATATGGTTCTAATACTAGTTATTTTTGTTGTTTTTTCCTTCTCATTTGATCTTTATTGTTATTCAAGTTGAATGAGAATCAATGGTGTTCTTGTTTGTTTGTTATTTATATGGAGTAGATTTGGTTTACTTTTATTGTAATTGTTACAGTTTAAATTTAAACAAGCAAAGAAATAAATTACCACAATTTCAAATTTAAAAAAAAAAAAATCTTCCACGACGTTTTTAAATGCCACTAAAAATGTCAGTATGACGTCATATCTTACCGTTGGGTATTTTGAATTGGGAGATAATGGTTTGAATTAGCAGAATTAACGGCGTTTATGAAAACGCCATGTAAAGGTCTACAGGTGTGCCTACGTCACTAATGACATCATAGTGGTGTAAGTAGGACATTTTGCGGCATTTTTGTAAAACGCCGCCTATAGTAGTATAGCGACGTTTCTAAAGCGCCATAAAGTTATAGCGAAGGCGTATCTTCGGCGTTTGGTGCTAAACGCCACAAAAGGATTTGAAGGCGTTTTTGAGACCTAAACGCCGCTAAAACCCTGATTTCCAGCAGCTTTTTTTTTACCTTTCACAAATAGGGCCTGTTGATCCCAACAACAATATGAGCCAAACAATATTTCCTCCCAGGCTAATGAAGACTTATGTGCTGGTATGATAGACCGGACTTTATACCAAACCGCCTTGATTAATGAAATTAATAGTAAAAAAATTAATAATTTCATGAAATAGTGTAAGATTAGTTATTCAATTAAATTAGTGAGATAACCATTTTTTTTCTTTTACTTTTATACTTAAAATTATGATTCTTAATCTCTCTCAGTATTAAAAATTCATCAATTTTATTGGATTGAATGTCCGTTGTACATGTAATCTAATTAATAAATTTTGCAATCAAATATGGGATCGTGAGTCCATGAACTAACAATTTCAATCATATGCTATAATCCTACTAATAAAACATGCCTAACAAGTCTTACTTTAAATTAATAGGGCTATGTTTTCAATTTTAACCTTACAACCTAATCTGTTAATCTGCAATTTTCACATCAAATTCTCTACTTTCTAATGATTTCAACTGCAAAAGTATGATTTTTAAAACTAATAGATCCATAAAATTCTCACTCAAAGATTTATTGGGTAAATAATCATAACGGATAGGACTGGCTGATAATTTAGCATAAATAACTTGCATTTTTTAGTTGTCACACCGAGCTTAGGCTGAACTTCTTAAATAGCAATTCAGTATGGGCCCATCTTCGCACATAGGCCGAATGCAAATTGGGCCAGTCATATATAATATAACAATACAAAATAATAAGAAACTGAAAAGTCCTGTTATAAACACTGCAGGAAATTTGAGTTAAAAACGCTGCTAAAAGCCTGAAAAACGTCGTAAAATGTTACAGCAACATTTAAAATTTTCGTCGTTGATACGGCCGCTGTAATAGCTTTACAACATTTGAAAACTGTCGCTACAACTATTAGACGGCTTTTTTTAAAACGTCATAAAATCTTTGACGTCCGCTTCCATTTCCATCACAGACTAACGCATCATCATGACGTCATTTGGTGGCCTTTTTTAAAAAGTGCCACCTTTTTTTGCGCCACCTTTTTTTTTTTGTTCTCTCTCTTGATTTTGAAATATGATCAGAATTACAATCAGAAAAAAATATTCACCTAATATCATATGAGCAACCAGCTACCGAAGAGTTTTTTTTTTTTTGAGTGAATAAATCATAAAATAAAATTAAAAAAGTTACAAATTTCCAGGGGGCATATCCCAGGACCTACCACAACTAAATAAGGCTAAAGCCTAAATAGATCAGCAACTAAAAGATTTGATCTGAATAACCTATTCAACATCCATATATACAAAGGAAATAGGGATAA